CTGACTGCCCGAGTCATGTAATAAATTCCCTTACCACACACTGTTAGTTCAGTTTTCAATAGATGCTTGTATGGTAAGGAGTAGACTTAATGGAGTTTGGAGTTTTCTAGAGCAAGGAGTTCATTATCCCCCTGAGGAAAATCCAATGTTAGTCATGCCTGTTAACATCCTTTTTGTTAATTTATTTTTTGTTTGTGCCTTTGTTCAATTTGTAGCCTTTTCAGTTTCCCTTCTTTCAAGACACTGTGTATTTCTTCAGTTTACACCACATGGGCTGGATGAATAAAAGAGTTTGAAATCTTGCTTCCTATCGTCATACATAGTCGTGGTTGACTTGGAGAACTCTGGTGCACAACACCACATGTCTGCTCCATCACAACGCAACAGGAGAATATATGAAAGTTTACCTTATATACATCCAATGATTTTTCTACAAATGCTTGCAAACTGGACATAACAGGGATACAGAAAATAATTGTTTCAATAAATATAAGAAAGAGAATAAATAAAACTAAGTAAAGTGATGACAGACAAGTATGCTGTATTTATTGGAACCTCTTCCATCATTAACACCGTGCCAGAGAAAAGGATAGATTAGGTTCAAACAAGAACAAATGATGCTGTTGTCTCTTTCAACTTCTGTATATTTCACTTGTGATCAGGAGTTTTATGCAACAGTGTACATTATAAGCTCTGTAAATAGCTCGGCTACACAAATGCTGTAATGCTTATAGATATAACACACCTGCTGTAATAATCTTCATATCTTGTTGGATCTGCATCACTTATTTGGAATTTTGTAACAAAAAAGAAGATAAAGCATTAAATGGAAGGTAAAACTCTTAACCCTTTTATTATACAAATTCCCCTCAATGTCAGCTATACATTTCGTAATCGTAATCAATGTTTAATGTCTTTACGTGGGGCATGGTTACCTATTATTGCCTGAGCCAGAGGCTCATGTATGAAATGCAAGACAACAACCCACTCATCCCTCCCCAAGGGGGGACATCCATCACGCAGTAATCTCATGCGTGGGAAATTAACATCTCCTACCCCTAACCCTGTAGGAGACGGGACCCCCATTTATTCTTCCCTATCTGAGAAGACTAGAATATCTAAACCATTTCTTGATGCTATAGAAAGGCAGCATATTCTTCTCAATTATTTTAAGACCTTGAGTGTTGGTCCGGCCGGGGCTCGAACCCTCAACCTCCCACACATCAGTCCAGCGCTCTATCCATTGAGCTAACCCGTAGGCGGTTAACATAAACATTCATAAACATTGTAGCTTTAGTTCAGATAGTTTGATACTTTATCCAACAGTGACCCCACTTGATAGACCTCCAAATTCTTATAACCGTTCTGCTTGAAAGTGGGATGAGTACGTAAGGAGAAATCACCCTTTGGTCGCTGTATGAGGTCAAGAGGTTATTGAATAAATGCACTTGGGTTGGTTTACGGTCATTTATGGCTGGCTTATCGTGTGAAACGAGTTTGGTGGTGGCGAGTTTACTGTGTTGGCAAACTGACCGGATACCCGTAGGTTAATTAACGTTGATAAAATTCTCACCTGTTATACGCAGATAAGACTGAGGAAATATCTGGCTCTGAATCTGGAGTAGTCTGAAGATTTATTTCTTCTATTGCATCTATTCCATTCACTTCTTGCCTGAAGATTTTCTCAGTTTCCTGAAACAAAAGAAAATTACCTTTATGTACGCTTTACTCTTAGGATTAAAAAACCGTATGTTCAAAGTATAGTAAATTTGAGAAATCGTTAAGCTCGTTCTTTCAATAAAATACTTCTACAACTCACAGACAGATTCTTCTTCTTCAAAAACTGAAGGACTGCGAGTAAGGTTTCTTTTTCCTTACTCGGAGGATTAGATTTAGTAGGTGTTTGGGACGCTGATCCGCTCGAATTGGCAGCCATATTGCATTTGACTGTGAGAGACTAAGTACCGAAGAAGGCCCAACCGAGACCTGCTGATCGGTCAATCCTAACCCTTAGCAATCCTCGTACCCAGATTCCTCTCAAATCTCCAAAAATGCTTGAAAATCGGAAAATGCATTAAAATTATTCAAGAAAAAACTAGCGGATATGAGCTTCGTTTACGTTTAGGCGGCGTTCGTCAAATCTTATGTAAAATAAAATAAATAAAAAAAAAAAAACCAGAAGAAAACAATGGCGGCCGAACGACGAATTCAACTTCTCACTCATTCAATACCAGGTTTGGATTAAAAATAACTCGTTCGACCTTCTTTATGGCAAAATGGAAGAATAAATAGTGACTTGTTTATTTACGTGTGCTGGGATAGAGAGTCATTGGGTAACGAAAATGTAACGGTAAATACGTATTTACGGAGGTCCGGCTGTGCAACCTTGGGGCACTGTGGTCGGACGTCAAGGACTGAATGAATGAATGAATGAATGAATCTTTATTAAGTCATAAGATAAATAATCACATATCCTATGTTACAACATTAAAAGAAGGTATATATATAAATTGCAGAGAAAATCGAGATAAAAATTAGAAGACTAGATTATGTTTAAAAATTAAGCGATTGACAAACGTGTTTTTGTGTTTATTTTTGGATGGTGACTTGTCTCTTTCCTCAGATTGTACTTGATTGATTGTACTTGGACTGATAAAAATCAAACGCGTCTCTCCAGAACGTAAGTTTCTGTATACCCGAATACGAAATTTCAACGAGTGTTAAGGTTTATTTATATTTTACATTCTACTTTTATTGCTTTTTACCTTTTACCAAAAAAATAATTATGGATTCCACAATCCGTGATCAGCCTAAAAAGACTCAGCTTTGAAATTGGAAGCCTTCGATACTCCTCGTAAAACAAAAAATAAAACAAAGTAAAACAAAAAAAAAATTAAGCGAATATCTGAGGAACTATGAGGATTCATAGGCGAAAACGAACGAAGTGTTCTTCTCGATATTCCACTTCGCGTAAAACGCGTATGTCGCGAAGACGACCTCGGGCGGATATCGTAATCAGAAGTCGACCCGGGATAACTTCCTTCTAGCAGATAAGGGTCGAATAACGAGTTCAGAATCCATTGAGAGGTCGCAAGATTATCAGAAAATTAAGGAATCTAGAAATGGCATAATATTTCCCTCTAATTTCCAAGTGATAACACGCTTCGAGGGACACCAACATGGCGGATCAATAAATTTGCATAATCTGTGACGTCACGTGAAAAGCAAGAATAGTCTTTTCGCAAATTGCCCCGGGGGCTTATACAACTTCGTAAGGGGTTTTATGGGGGCTTATAAATGGAGAGGCTTCAATCTGAGTGAGCCCGGAAAAAAAAAAAGCGCTTCGAAACGGACAAAAGTGGTGATCAAAATAAGTTTTGGATTTACCTCTTTTTGATAAGATTCAAACTAAATAATAAAGACGATTAGTAAAATTTCAGAGCTGAGCAAAGAGTTTCTAGCAATCTGATTGGTCAGCGTTTCCTTTTATGACGCTTTCTTATATGCCTGTGTCTCACAAGGACTGGGAACTACCAAGTTCACAAATTTGATTGGCTGAAATCAACATTGAAAGCGGTCTAGATTTTCCCATCTAGTCCGGCATCCACACCGGTCTAGAAAAAAAAGGTACAAAGAATATTAAAATTTGGCACATAAGACAGTCATATAATAAACATCTTATTAACCGAGCTAGGTTGGTCCGTTATGACCTCGGTCGCTGGTACGGGACACCATCATAGGACCTCACTGCGTTCGGTCTGTACTGGCGACCTCGGTGAAGATTCTCCAATACAGATCTCCCGCTCGGTTAATAAGAACTAAATATTCACCTCGCCTTCGGCGAATAATTGTTAAATAAAACTGCAACAAAACAAAACGGAAGTTTAGACTTAAACCTTGAAAAGTTCAGCTTTCTTAGTTCATTTTCTGTTTGAAGAAGTGTAGAGTTCCTCCTACTCTTGAAACGAGAAAAGTTATACGGGGCTTACATCCAAGAAGGGGGAGGGGGGTTAATGAAATATACTTTGTTCACAGGGCGAAAGGCGAAACCTCGGCTTCATCAAGAAAACAACACGCATACTCCTTCACAGCATTCACTGACCAGTAGGACCGAGGAAGCCAGAACGTCAACAACCGACGATGATTGGAAACAGAGGGTAATGCAAATGAATTTCAATCCAGTGAAGAAGGGCACATTCATCTAATACATAATTTATCTGGACGCTTCCCCTAACGATCTGAAGTCGAGTCTGTTATTTATTGGGTTTTTAACGTGAAATTTAGTTTAACATTTAGTCGAATTTCTTCGAAGAAGGGGAATGCCTCCAGTGAGGACCGGGTGATACACCGAACCGTTTTGTTTTGGTTTTAAGCGTGGGAATTGACTTCGACATGTAAAACATCTTTTCACAAACTCAGCTGAGAGCCGAAAAAATCGCGATGTCTTCCGCTGGTTACACGCCCTTGGATGACACGGACACAGATGATCCTAAAAAGGGTCAAGGTAATTTTTCCTTAATGGTTAATTTCGGGGGGATTCGACCACCAAACTGAAATCGGATTTCGAAGGTTTTGATCTTGTACCTAACAGTGTTTGTAATTCAAATTTCATGATCAGACATGTTACCCAATACACACAAATGTTGATGTTACTTTTTTGTTCTAATACATTTAACGAACTAATCGAAGGTAAATTTATCGAAAACCTTGCGGTGATTCTCAGAAAGTAATATTAAAAAAATTAACCCATCATAGGAACTACAGCCAGTATTGAAGTTGTCCTTAACTTTTCCTTTGTATTTAAAGAAAGATGAAGAAATCATATGTAGGCGTTAAAATCAATCTTGTATGCAATAAAGAAGCTGGTCATCTCTTAAAGATACCTTTTTATTGCAATGGCCAATTTTTATCGAAATACAACAACAGATCGTTGTTGCGTGCGTTCAGTTTACCGTTCCTGGTTCTATAAATAAAATGAAATTCTGGTTATATTGTCCTCTGCTACTGTTTGACGACTTTCCCGTATTGTCTCAAATAATTTCATTTTTGAAGCATTTTAGTCTCGAAGTACAAGTGGACCAACCCGCGGGTACACTGCGGATTCGTAGCGAGACACCTTGATCAGTATGCCAGGATAGTTCAGAGCATTATTAACGTTTACTGTGGAGACCTTGTCCTGAGGACTTTCCCTCTTTCGTCTTTGATATGACGTTTTTTTTCTTTCATCTGTGGTATGCCTGGAAACTTCATATCATACGTGTATAGAGGAGAAATTTGCCTTAGGACTTACCCTCTGTAATTTCGGATATCGATCTAACGTTTTTATTTTTTATTTCTTCTTTTACTGAATTTTAGTCTTGATTCATGATAAATGTTTTGATTCTTGTTTCAAGACATTTTAAATCAACAGGAAATGCGTTTTAGACTTTCTCACCTTCGATTTATTCGCACTGTTCATAAACAGATATTAAATTTTTCTAGTTGTTTTTAAAATCATTATTTTATTAAAAACCTTTAGCAAATTCTGCATCTGGAAAGTGAGCCAGTTTATTCTCTGAAAAATGTTAACATCCATCTAGATCACCTGAAATTTGATATGTGTAATAGTTCTTATCACAGCCAGATGTTGATTTATTTTAATTTAATAGTGAATCTAGCTGTACCCTCAAGAATGACCGCAAAGAAATTCTGCCTCACTAGCAATACATTTTAATGCAGATATACAGTGAGAAGGAAAGAGAATGTCAAATGGGGAATATTGATTGAAATAACGTTCAAATTTTTCATTGTTAATTCTACCCTCTAGCTGCTATACATTTCCTTGTAACTTAGTTATACTTAGTTATGAGATTGTAGTATTAGATCAAGAAAACAACTTCTACCTGATAAGTTTGGGTATTCTCATTACCTGTTTGCTGGATGATTTATAGAGACAACTTACATGTTAATCACTTGTGGGAGTTAAAGGGTGAACAACAAATTCTGAGAGGTAAAATATGTGAAATTCATGAGGACTGCAATCTTTAGATTGTAGATGTGAAAGGGTTAGTCGTAAATTGTCTTCTTTTTTCAGTCCCAGGTACAAGAATATTGTCTCTTTTTTGATGATATTTATTAAAAAGTGGATAATTCTCACCTGTTTGACCCCAGGGGGCTTATTAAGTGCCATTTTAAGTGATGTGTGGGTGTCAATTAAGAGAACATGATTAATCGAGAAAAACTTTAGTTGATGACTCTTAGCAAAAAGGGTTTTGGGGAAAAAAAAAAAAGGATCACACATTGCATTGTAAATCGTTGAATAGCTGTCCCAGGCTGATTTCTTTGCTTCAGATTTTGTAAATTTTAACTAGGTAGATACTTAAATATTAGAAAGGATTCAATTTGTTTTGATTTATTTTAGCTCTGTCATCTACATCCCTGACCTGTCTTCACACAATTTTTTTGTTCAAAATTCAACCTGTACAGTATATCTGTACGTTTAGTCTGACTTTTAAAGGAAAATGTTGTCATTGATAGTGATGTTTTTGCAGTAGAATATATGTATAAATATATTATTATGTTCTAACACTTGGAAACACAGTAATTATTATAGCAACCAATTAAGAAAACAAACAACTGGTTTACAAAAACAAAAACATAATAGAAATCTGTTCATTAAGTATGGCATTTTGAAGGTTTGAAAGTGTGAAGCAAATATCCACCATTCTTGGTTTTTTTCTTCTTTGAAAGAGAGACTAACTGGTTTATTACTTAAAGGGGGTTATAGGAACCATTTAAAATGAAGATTTTCTGCATAGGTCTCTCTATGGCACTTAATAAAAATTAGTTTTAAAAACAAGCTAAACTCTTGGGTGTTACCATCTCCGAAGATTTGAAATAGAACGTTCACATAACTGAGATCACCAAGAAAGCCGCAAAGAGATTCTATTTCCTTGTTCAGCTAAAAAGAGCTCATGTTCCACCAAAAGACCTTTGCCTCTTTTATATGGCATGTATACGATCTGTAATCAATTATGCAGCACAAGTTTTTCATTACTCTCTCCCTGAATACCTCCACCAAGAACTAGAACGTATCCAGGAAAGATTCATGAGAATCATTAATTTTGTCCTGGTATGCAATACGAACAGGCCTTAGCTATTATGAATCTTCCAACTGTGAAAGACCACCACGAAAATATGTGTACAGCAACATTTTGCAGTATAATGAACGATCCTCTGCACAAATTAAGTAAACTTTTACCACCCCCCTATGTAAGCTCTCATAGGTTAAGGCACGAACGTACCTTTGCTTTGCCACTTTGCAAGACAAATAGACTTGAAAGCAGTTTCTTTATTGCTTCGGCCAGAATAGTCAACAGCCACAAATGATGTACAAGTTCCCCCTTATGGTGAACTATGAATTTTTTAATAATAAGATGTATACATGTTTATAGTGATTTTTATTTTATACCTGTAAATATGCAATTCAGTTCATGCTGTGAAGTATTTTCCAATGAAGTATCTATCTATCTATCCCCTGATGAGTGGGTGACCACGAAACAGGCTTGTAGGGATGAACTTGTAGCTTACTTGTCTTTTTCCTCCCACAATATATCTATCTATCTATCTATATATATATATAATTATGTAAAATATCCTAATATTTAGTGCATAGAATGATGAATATTACTATTCTGCCTGGTAGCTGCAACTAAAACTTCCTAATCTGTTCTTTTTATGAATTTTAGAAAATGAAGACGAAGAAACAAAAAGAAAGGGACCAAAGTCAAAATTACAGAAAATAAAGGTGTATTTCTGTTTGCTATGCCGATGCGCACTTTGTATTTAACAATTATTCGCCGAGAGCGAGGTGAATATCGTCGAATAATCCCCAAGATGAAGTCAAGAGAATTATTCGACAATATTCAACGAACCTGAGGCGAATAATTGTTTTAGTATAATTTCAGAGCTGAACAACAGAGAAATTTCTAAAATCATAACATTTTAGTAACATTTATTAACATTTTATTTTAACATTTTATATAAACCACGTGGAGCGGTTTATATAGCGTCATATAAGGAACCGCTCGACCAATCAGATTGCTGGAAACTCTTTGCTCAGCTCTGAAATTATACTAATATTATATACTAATAAACACCCTTAAGGCTTGTTAACAAAATTAGGGTTGGCAGAGGTACCTTTTAAGATTTTCAGCTCTTGCCTTGATACTAGAATGGTATACATAAGCACATCTGTCAAGAAGACTCTTTCAAATAAATGTGTGTTTATGAAGCAGCAAAATTTATGTATTTCCATAGAACCTTGGGTTTGATTTTTCACAGAATGTTACAAGATTGAAATAATTTTTCTTACAGAATGTTTTTCACAAGACTGGTTACCCCAGTGCAGTGTGGTATATTTTGGGAAATGAGTTCTGTGAGAGATTCTCATACTATGGAATGCATGGTAAGATGAATAAAACTCTAACCATTAAAATCACAACCTAAAATTTCCAATAGTTGTCTCTCCTTTTGTTAAAAAAAAGCTGTGTTTTAAAGGTACTTCCTCCGTAGATCTCTGATTAAGAACTCGTAGAAAAAAATTAAATGTGAAACATGCTTCCCTTAACTGTCCCTCCTCGATTAAAGGTAAGCAGACTTGGCTTTGGATCCCAAAAAGAGAGTAAGAAGGAAAAATAATTTGACAGAGAAACAAGTTACAAGCTTGGAGGAGCATGAGAAAATGTTTCTGGACATGCATTACCAAGTTCTGATCAAAACTCTGCACTCAAGTTTTGTGATATTACTTAATAATTATCTAACTGATCACAGAATCCACCCTATGGATATTATCCAATTTTGTTTTATTTTTCTCTTACAGCCATTCTTGTCATCTACCTGACACAGATGTTGAAGATGGATGATGACTCTGCCACGGCAGTTTATCATGCCTTTAACATGTTGTGTTATTTCAGTCCTCTTTTTGGTGCAATGTTAGCAGACAGTCTATTAGGGAAATACAGGTGAGTCATTTTATTTTTTTACCAAGTGAGTCATATTCGCAAAGATAGCAAAATGCAAATGACTTCAAATGAAGCCTCAAAATTCTTTACTTGTTGAAAGAAGTAAATCATGTTTGTTTCCCTTTTTTCTGCTTTGGATTTGAGCTCGGAAACGTACTTCAGTGGGCTTTGTAACCACCCAACGCTGAAAAGTAAATATAAACAAAAAAATTAACATTTGTATCATTGACTGCAATTTCTGAAATTTCTGGTAATGTTTACTAATTAAACGGAAGAAAAACCTAGACCTCCTTTTACATTTTTCGCTCACCTGACTGAATGCGAGCCACTGCTCTAACCATGGCCACTTTTGAAACAAAAGAAATTTGAAAAGGTTGAAAATTTAAGATGAGCACGCATTGGAAGGTGCATTGCTACAATTGCATTGAAGGTTAAGTCTACATACGACTGACTGAGTCATTTTTACTGTGCTGCAAAATGTCGTAAAAAGTATTTATTACAAAAAGTATATTTTCCTGAAGACAAAGAGTTCTCACTCATTGGCTCTAAGCAATCACGAGACTAAAATTTATTCATGCACATGTTTTGAACCAGAGGCAATAACTGATGCCCAAAGACAATACATATACGATATATTAACCTTTGATAAAGAGAAAAGTGGTTTCCATCACAAAGTCAGTAAGTTTACAAAAACTTGGAGGGGGGAGTACGAGAGCGATCCGCACAGTAACAAACTCTACGTAAACAGTAGTGAAAATGAGGTTTTTTTTTTTTTTTTTCAGGCCTATTTTCACTACTGTTTACGTAGAGTTTGTTACAGCAAAGATCACTTTCATACTCTTTCTTTAACTGCAGTTCAAATATATGACTTTCATATATTCACAAACGTTTACAAAACTTGTAAAAAACTGTTACAATGTTTTTATTGATGGCAGTGAAAAGGGGGCCTCTGGAAACCATGGGGCTTATGCAAGGGAGGCTTACTCACCACAAAAAGACATGAAAAATTGGTGGTATAATTATGAAGGCAATATGCATTTATTGGGAACATTTGTTTTTTACAGGACCATACTCTATGTTTCAATAATTTATGCCGTTGGGAATGTCACGGTTGCTATAACATCAATTCCTGCAGTCCTGGCAGTAGTAAAAACGTAAGTAAATTTGCTTACCAGTGCTTTCAATAAGATTTGAAATAGGTGGCTACCTCGGTACAACACCCGCCGGAGAGCGACTTGATTGCGACTTAGCGTGGCGACTGCGACTTGAGCGCGGTGAAATATACCCGGCGACTCGCAACAGAATAGCCGCCGGAGCTCCGGCGGGTGCCAGGTCTTATTGAAAGCACTGCTTACAAGTGACATTCATTTCACAATAAGGTGTAGTTAGCTCAACTGTAGGTTCCTGCCCCTGCCATCCCTAGTTTTTAACCATTTTTTGGTTGATCGTGTTTTAAATCATTATCTGTACCATGGGCGGTGCCTCGCATGGGTCCTCGTGTCCCATTCACACCAGCCCTTTTGACCTTTCCTCCTTAATTATCACTTTAAATCACTTTGTACATATATCCCATTTCTTTTAGGTCGTCTAATTTGCTGTATGTAATATGTGTAATGGTCAATAAAGTTGTTTAAAAAAAAAAAAAAATGACTGGTAACGGCCTTCAACAGAATGGTGACCTTGTATAGGAAATGAACATCATCAGGAATTGTCATTAGGATTTCAGTTGTGTCACAATAAAATCTTCACATATAAAAAATGAAACAAAAAATAAAATATTTCTTAATAACCCCCCTTCCTCTCTCAAAGGCTGTCATTATTAAAATTATCTCCCTTCATTGCCAGTCAATTTTCCAAGGTCTTCATTTATATTTAATTAGTTTCTTTAGTTCTGGACATGGTAACTGTGCTTTCTCAGCACTTCTGTTCAGTAATAAATGACTGGGTTTCAGACAGTATTAGGGACCTTAAGAAACCACAACGGCGACGGCAATGAGGACGTGGAAAAACAAGAGATCTAATTGGCCAAACAATAGCTCAGCACATGCGTTTTGAAACTTTGTACGTTTCGTAGCCGTCCTATGCAAAACAACAGCGTGAAATCGCCAAAATTTGTGTTGTCTGCACACCGAAACCGTGACAGCAAATTATTTTAATTTCCATTTGGAACTCAATGGCTACTTTATACGTCATGCTGAAGTTGAGCTGTGGCGCTGTATGAGACAGTAAGCTCCTGCAGCCACTTTTGAAATTCTAACTAAGAGTAGAAATTCATTTTTTAATCGAAGTCTTCCTTGGTGTCACCGTTGCGGTTTCTTAAAGTCCCTTTTATCAGGGCAAGAGGACCATGGTAATGTATGAAGGTAGAAGGAGGAGGAGGGAGTGGGAACAACTCAAAATTGAGTAGCATCCCATCAAGGAAATGGGAGACATTACTTTGCTACAGAAAATGAAACAAGTTTAATAAGTGGCAAGGGCCATTTGGCTTATGGTTATGACCAATGAATGGTTATAGTTGTCTTCTTTTGTGAACTTTTTCTCCTTCTTCTCTATAGAGCTGGTCCGATGATTGGATTGTTGTTGATTGCGCTAGGCACAGGGGGCATCAAACCATGTGTGTCAGCTTTTGGAGGAGACCAGTTTACTGCTGATCAAGTAATCTACCTGTAGAGTGAATAGTCCATTTTACAGTTGTGTGCTTGGTTGCCGAGCCTTTGAATGGGAGTGAGGCTAGGGTTGACCTTGTTATGATACAAACCTTGCTGCCTTTCAAATGTAAATCACTTTGTAATCATGCTAAGTAGATACAGGTCTCTATCACAACAAGGTCACCTTCAGCCTCACTCTGAATCAAAGGCTTGGCAATTAAGTACACAACTGTAAAATGGCCTATTGAAAGTTTGATTGTTATGTTTTGAGTTATATGAACTTCATGGGAGTATGCAAGGCAATCATCATAACTATTTGTTTCCTATTTTGCCATCGGTCTTGGGATTCTTTCATCTATATTTTATCTTTTTTTGTCATACTAATCTTAAGAGGCAAGAGATTACAAGTGAAAAAACATATTACCATAAACATACCTTTTGTTTTTAAAGTAATCTGCTTTTGTTTTATACCTTTATTGCAGGAACATTTACTTCAAAGTTATTTTTCCAAGTTATTTTTCCATTTTCTACTTTGCCATCAATCTTGGTAGTCTTTTATCTATGATTGTTACACCAATGTTAAGAGGTAAGTGATTCAAGTAGTATAGAAACTGTGCGGTATAAATTTAAATTTAATAATAATAATACTTACACAAGTCATAGTCTTGCAATTTTAAAGAAAAATGAATACACATTGTGTGAAGATCAATTTAGTATTTACAGTGTGGCCTTTGATGAGGCTATGAACCAAGCTCATCTCTCTCAGAAAGCAGACAGAGATGTTTCTTAGCAAAGTTTGCAGTCAGTGATAGCTGGCTGAATTTCTGTTTTTACACTCCAGATCATGAGTAGTTTGTTAGTTTGTTTGTTTGTTTGTTTGGCAAAAAGCAAGGTTGTTTAATAATGTTGAGGATATGTATTTTTTCAGGTGATGTGTCGTGCTTTGGTCAAGATTGTTACATGTTGGCATTTGGAGTCCCTGCTTTGTTGATGATCCTGTCAATTGGTACAGTGTGCAATATTTTCTTCAATTTATAATTATACTGTCTTACAAATTTTATTTTATTGAATAAGTATTTATTTTATTTGCCCCTTACACGCACTCACACACCCAAACAAAAATAATAAATTATAGTAATGTTGTTTACAGCAATCTAAAAGAATAACTAGGTATATTTTACAACAATTTATGCTCAAACTAGATAAAAGTACAATTTAGGGTCATCTATAAATAATGTGGCGAGGAAGCCTAATAGAAGCTAGAGGCTAGAAGCTTAATATAAACCTGGGTTCCTCACACAATGCAGAAGAAAGATTTGCTAACTTAGCCATCTGACCCCAGAGGGTGACTAGCAACTAATTTCCCCTTACGCCATCACTCTGAATCACACATTAGGGTCACGAGAATATAGGAAATGATCACCAACCAAAAAACTTCTTGACTGTTGAAAAGCAAACTCTCCACGTTAGCACCTATAGTATAATGTGTAGAGATCAGTATGGTGAATGCGCATGCTGATATTTGGTTGTGAAGAGTTCAGGGATTTGTGGACAGAAGTCTTAATTGGCTTGTGATATAGAACTTCAACTTGAATTTTCCAAGGTAAATACAAATTGATTTGTAGGGGAATCTAATAGACTATCAGTGGTCGTGTGGGGGGCTAGTTGTCACATCCCCCCACCCCCTCCTCCCTATTAATGAACATGCCAAATCCCAAGTTGTTGACCAGTTCAATGTTTTTTCCACAGCATTGTTTTATTGTGGTCGTAACAAGTACAAGATAGTCCCACCAGAGGGAAATATTGTTCTGCTTGTCAGCTGTGCTGTTGGGGTTTGTACTCTTCATTAACTTTTATTAATTTTAATAAAGATATACTCTGTCAGGAGCTCCTGACTCTGTAGTATGCTAACATTTTGAAAGAAAGAAAACCTCAGCAACTTTCTTCAATCTTGGTATCATAATAATGGAGTTCCTTGATATTGTAGATGGGTATCAATATCTGAGCAACTGTGTACCTACCCCACCCCTGACTTAACAACAGTCAACTGATAACTAGTTACCAATAGCATTCATATCGGGTTGGGGGATGGGTGGGCACACAGTCACTCAGATACCCACTTTGATCCAATTTTTGACATGTCCTTTTTTAAGGTGAAACTCTACCTGAAGTTCTTTAAACACACATATCACACTTTTTGATGGTGGACTTTCATTTGCAGGGGTAAAGAGGGGGGGGCTCTGCTATAAAATAGACTGGAGTGCTCATTGTGTCTCTCAAGGGCGCAATCAAGGGCTTTAGTCTCACTGCAACCATTCAGGTTGAATTGCAAGTATTTTTGTCACCATAAAAGGATCTTTTAGAATGAGGCCAAAAGCATGAAAAATATCATCAAGATAGCATACTTGTGGTGGTGATCTTACTCTGTAAAATAATGAAAAAAAAAATTGCCCTATCCTTACAACTGTGACGTGTCTCAGGGATCAATCAAAGCTTGAGACACACCCAGGTTGGTCTAATTTAGCAGCAAGTCAAACAGGCATCCATTTCCTAAATTGTATGAGTTGCTTCCCCCCCCCCCCCTTCAACTCCCATAGGAATTTCCAATTTTCAATCTTGTTTTGTTTTTCCTATCAGAATGCTATCAAAAATAAGGTAAAAACTATTGGTTCTGGGGAAAAGAGGGAACACTGGATGGACTATGCGAAGAAGGATTATGATGTAAGCTCTACTGAACTACTTACTAGTTTTTTTGATTATGATTTGATGCAGCCATATTTCTATTTTCAAATTACAATTCATGATGACTAATATAATTGTTTTTCTTAGTCAAACCTGGTGGAGGACATCAAGGCACTGTTCAAAGTGCTTTTCATGTTTTTGCCTTTGCCGGTGTTCTGGACATTGTTTGATCAACAAGTGAGTTATTTAATTCCTCCACACATACTCCAATTAACCTAATTTGAATATCATTTTTTTTCTATATCTGTGAACCGAAAGAAACAACGTGCAAAACCATTGACAAAACTGTTGATAAAATTGTATCACTGCTGCTACATTTCTTTGGCAAACCTGTTTTAGAGACTTTGCTCTCCTGTCTCAGCATCCATCCAGACAAGGTTACCTGGTTTGCAGTCTGGACTATACTTTCGAGAGAAATGAGGTGGCAGGAGGGGTTGGGGTGGGGGATGGAGATGGGGGAGAGGGTTGGCAGCCAAGATTCTGGTTTAAGTCTCAGGGTCAATGTCAATTCTGCTAACGCTATGCAACAATTAATTTGTGAGCTCAAGATCTCTATTTCTTGATTGTATATCAGGGCAAATCCTGAATTAACCATCAAGAATCCTTGCTACTGTGATTGTAATGTTTTATAAAGATAAACGAATATACTGGTATGCAGGCAACAAAATCTCATGATAGTTACACACAGAGAAATACTTACAATGGGTACAATGATATGCAAAATGTTGATCTATTGAATTGTCTTTTTTTTCTGTTAATTTTAGGGTTCACGGTGGACTCTTCAAGCAGAAGAAATGGATGGTAACTTAGTAAGTAAACAACAAGTCGCGCGTGTCTCATGAAGTTTAAAACCAGTTGTGAAGTCTCATTTTTTTTTTGGATGGTTTATACACATTATCCAACTACACTTCGTAGAGTACAAATAACGCCATAGACGACTACAAATATCACGCGGTATTTGTACTCTAGAGTACCGGTTAAACAGGTTTTCTCGCATCGCGCAAGCGAATAATTGAATTGTAGTTACGAAAAAAAGAAATGGCGGACAATTTGAATCATATTTCCGACGACGAAAAGTCAGAATGGCTGGCAAATATACATCCAAGTTTATTAGATGAATCGAACGAAGAAAAACAGCTAGACGACCTGGAAATTTCTTCATTGATTGACGAAAATAGAAACAGCAACACGACAACGCGCCAATTCCGTTCCTCTTTGCATACTTCTGTCACGCACTCCCCGTAAATAAACATCCGCGAAATTCGTCCGCACTGAAACAACAGTTTGGCGTGTTGGATAATAAATAACCTACGGG